GGAAGATGAGAACTGGCGACTTTGTAGTACAACTTTAGTACGCGGAGTAATGTGTGGAGCTGGAAGGTGAGAACTGGCGACTTTGTAGTACAACTCTAGTACGCGGAGCAAGCCGTGGAGCTGGAAGCTGAGAACTGGTGACTTTGTAGTACAACTGTAGTACGCGGAGTATCTGGGGAGCTGGAAGATGAGAACTGGCGACTTTGTAGTACACCATTACTACGCGGAGCAATCTGTGGAGCTGGAAGCTGAGAACTGGCGACTTTGGTCGGTTCCAACTTGTTTTGTCAAAGAACATCGCAGCTCGGCGAAGCAGCCTGCCACATGCCCATTTCCTTTATATAGGTTTATTCTTTTGGAAACTTCCGCCGCCGGCTTGCCCGGGAACTACTTGTAATCATAAGTTCTAAGTGCCACAAAATCTGCTTTTGCCCCATGGCAGCTCATATCACCAAGCGTGTTTTGATTGCTGAGTGACTCCAGACATCACCTCACCTATCGTTGGACGGGTACAAAGTACGCGCAGCCAAGGTGGTTTGCACCGGTCTCCCAAGATGCAATTCGATTCTGCTCGGCACGGAGATCATAAGTTGCTCGGTTTGTTTTGAGAAACATGTGTTGCAGCTCTGTTGATTGACTGGAAGGAAGATCATTCCAAGTCCCAAGCATGTTCCTCAGAAGTTGGAGTCTCAGTACTCACTTACCGCTGCGTTCGCGAATAAACTGGGACTATGGACTACTTCGTGTTTGGGGTTTCGGGCCTTTAGGGTGTAGGGTCTGGCTGTAGGGCGTTTCCGCACCCAAGTCCGAGAGTTTCTTCGGCGTAACTATAAATATAGAGAGAGCGACCACGAATTTGCAGGCCAAAATGTGTGTTTGCCTACAACAGTGTTGGTAGGTGCTGTATATATATATAATATAACAGTTCTTGAATGTCATTTGGATTCAGTGAATTGGGCACAACCTCAGAACCCAAAACGCCTCCCTCATCAGATCGCCAAATCCGACGGCAAAGTCTACATACCCAAACCAAACGCTGGGCACTCTTATCATTTGCAACAGAGTTTAGCTTCCTCGCAAAGCTCTAGGGGCAGTAGATTCCCAGTAGATAAGCACTGGGATAAAATAGCATCTCTTGCTCCATATTCTGGTTGGTCATTGGCACCTGGCAGCTGGGGCATTTGGTTTCAGCTGAAAGAAGACCTGGCCGGCATCCAACCCAAAGTGCTTTCTGAGGCTCAACCTCCAGCAGTTCTTAAACCTGGAGACTCAGGAGGCCAGGGATGCCCCGGCTCCCTGCAGCAGCTTCGCTAGAGCCCTGCAATGGTTGGCAGGAGACCTGGCGAAAGCCAGGGGAGTGGGGAGTGAATGGTGCCAAACATTGTTCTTGCTGAACTTGCTTGGGATGTAGGATAATTTATGACAACCTGGCAGTTGTTGCTAGAGGGATGTGATCGGATCCACACTGGCTCTTGCAAATGCACAAGGGGTCGCAGGTCATTTTTGACAGTAGGCTGCCAGCTTCGCCACACCTGACACAAAGCATCAGATGCCATATGTGAAATGGAATGAATACCAGAGTTAATTTTTCTTAGCTTTGGTGTTAATTCTTTGTCCCGGCGTGCAGGTCAGCATGCGCCTCAGCAGAATTGACTCCCAAGTTAAATCTTTTTGTAACTCCTGCTTCTTCCAGAATCAACTCCAGAGTTAATTCTTTATGGTGTCTTTCTGTATCGGACCCCTTCAGGACCCCTTGAAAAAGAAATACAGTAGATCCAGAGTTAATTCCTTTCCTGCCTCCTCTGCCCCTTGAAAAAGACTTACATCCAGAGTTAACTCTTTGTTTGGCGTGCTTGAAAGTCTGTTCTTGCACCGTGATTGTGAGTTTTGGTTAAAGATGGCTGTGGTGGTAGTTGCGGCCAGCAAAGCGGGCAGACAGCTGCCAGCATGGCAAGAGATAGAGACGGTGTTCCCTTCGTTCTAGGGCCTTGCACAAAAAGAAAGAAAATAGACAAATAACTATAACTCAAGAGTCAAAGAGTGAATTCTTTTTTGGTGGCTACTTTTTCCCCACCTTCTTATCTTCGTAATCATCCTTCACCATCCTTCACCTACCTAAAGCTCAAAACAATTAAAAGTCAAGAAGAAAAGACAAGAAATAGATAGACCAAGAAAAGGGAACAATGAGACACACTGAAAAATGATTAGCTCGAGAGTTAATTCTGCATTCGCACAAATAGCAAAGTTGACATAATCATCTCCAGAGTTAATTCTTCTAGAGCTACAGGTTGAACAGGGGTAAGAGCTAAAGCATCAACACTGGAGTTAATCAACTCTTGTATTCAGCCCCTTCCGCCATATGTTTTGTCCTCTTATGTACTTGCAACGCTTTGCCAGCCTTACAATTGAAACCTCAGCTACCGCAGGCCTACCTGTGAGGGAAACAGTGGACCATAGGTTTTTCATGAATTCAGTGGCACTGGGACAAGGCATGGTGGACAGCCTGGACAGCTGGTACTGTACAACTCAATTTGTCCATGCAAAAAGTCAGCAGTGCATCTGAGTGCATCTTGACATCTTGCCAAATTTCTACCACTCCATGCGCTACAGTAGTCTTTGCATTGCACTACAGTCGAACAGTTTGATAGGAAGATGTTTGACGGCCTAATGTTTCAAATCCATGTGCCAACAGGATAATGTGAAAGCCCTGTTGGTAGGCAATTGAATTACAAGAAACCCTTTGCGTGTTGTCCCTGTACCATTGCATCAAATCGTAGCGACCACTGCGACCACTGAATTTCCCACGGTTTTCTCTCCTCATCGTGGGAAACTGTGTGGGGTGGAAATTCCAATCCAATCCCGCGGACGCGGGATGTCCGAGCCAAAGACGGTCTTATGATGTCATGTGGTTTCTCTGGTCATGGGACCTCGGAGTTCAGGGAGTCAATGCAGATCAATGCAGATATGCACTTTTTGTTTGCCAGGTTCATGTCATTTTATTTCTGCTTGTTAGCTTGTTCAATCTTTGGGCCTCCCTGGCAACCAAGGAGAAGACCTACCCTTGCTGGCCTTCAAGGGAACTCGTCGTGCATTCTTCCCAGAGCAACCCTGGGCACCGCTGACGCATGCGATTTGCGGATTGTTGGTCTTTGGGGTCTTCCCATTGATCTTAGAGCTTTGTGTCGAGCGGTTCTTTGCCTTCCCCGACCTGGTGGAACTGACGCTTGGAGGTTTACGTGCGGAAGAGATTGATTCCCGGGTGACTTTGTGGCCCTTTGTTGGGTTGCGCTTGCGCGCATGTGCCCCCCAGCTGCACACAGGCCAAGGGAGGCTAAGGATATGCATATATGGTATATAGAACTCACCGAGCTTTGTCCCAGCAATTGGTCCACACAACGGCCCAACCGTGTCCAAAGTGTTTTAGATGCAAAGCTGCAGTTGGTCAAATACATCTCTGTAAAAGTGTTCTTGAAAGATCTTGGGTGATCTTGGGTACTGTAGGGGGTTCCAAATATGCGCTGCGTTGCACGTTTGCAACCCAGGTTGCACGAAACAGAAAAGGGTGAAAACTGAAAACCATTTGGGGTGCGGTAGAAGGGTGACTTAGTTTTAGGGTGTTGGTTTCTATCAGTGTTTTCTGAAGTGCAGGTTGGATTGTTTGTTTTCATGAACGGCAGCGAAGTGCTGCTGAAGATTTGGATAGTTGATAGTTAATACCTGCTCAGGAAGAGCACCACCGGGAACATCGCTGAGATTGGAGCGATGCATGGAGAGGTGGAGATTCCCAGTGGCCAGTCGCAAGTGGAAATTTGAAAGCCAACAGCCTTGGCCGCCGGAATGTACTTCAAGTGATAGGTTCATCAGGTGAGAGTCTAAACGTATGGAGAAGGAGCAGTCGGTTCCAATGTTTCAGCACTCGCTTCTTTCCGATATATAGTCCGGACACTCATGTCAAGAGCCTGTGCTTCTTGCAACAGCTCTCCACAGGTTCCGTCCATCAGGCGACTTCAGCTCGCCCAATCTATTGATGGAATGGAATAGTTTTAATAGTAACATGATAACAAGTTAGCCGGTAGACGTTGAATTGTTTCCTCACTGCCTGACTCTACCCTGTCGGTGCTTCGATTTGAGGTCTCGAGCTCCGCACGCTCTTGAACCCCAAGCCCTGGCCCAAGAAGTATGTTTTCCTCGGTGCAGATGTCCCAGCGAAGCTCCAGGTGGGCTTTGAGACCGGATTGGCGATGATTGGCGCTTGGGAAGGGGGTGTGCTTCATTTTGGCCCGGAAGGGTGTTGCTAGCTTTGCTCAAAGCATCCTTTATGGCCAGCGCAGTTTGTTCTGAAGTTCTGGGCCTACGCCGGTGGTGGTTTACTCAACGGGCTTTTGCTCTCCCCACGTTGGCTTTGCCGTCCAAAACGCCCCAAATGCACCGGCAACAGACCCGGCAAAGACGAAAAGTTACAGTAAGTCCACCATGAAGCAAAACAAGCGAGGTCAGAACCAGCTTCCACAAGACATCGTGCCTGGGTGGAACGGCTGGGTTTGTGAGGGGCTGTGAGATGTTCAGCATTATGTTCAGCCTGCGAGGCCAAATTTAAGCACAAAAATGCCACGCGGCTGTGAATAACATAGCCAACGTAGCCATAGGCAAGCTGGAGGGTAGCATATATATATATACATACACAACTTGAGAGCAGGTTCATAAAGGGAGTGCAGATCGTTGACGGTCATGGATGCTTGTGTTTTTTATTCAGGCAGTTACAATATTGAGTGTGGCTGGGACGACTTGGGCGGCGTAGCTCTTGCTCGAAAGATTTTGTTGCTACAGTGACATTCAGGAGTTTGGTGTAACTACACTCTTAGATCGGACCCACCTAAGCCATTGAACATCTTGAACGCTTGCTTTTGGGTTGATATTCTTGTTTGCGGGAGGGTACAGGTCGCTGTAAGGGGGGTTGCTTTAGACCGCTCGCCAAGCACAACAAGAAGGTTGGATAGCCTTCCAGGGTTCCACCAAGGAAAGTCCGTCTATGCTGTGGAGAGCATCCATGCAGCGAAGCAATTTTGAAGCATAAATTGATCAAGTGGCTTGGGCAGTATGAGTATTTGGTGTGGCGTCATTGGTACTGCCTCACTCCAATCTAAAGAGCATCCAGAAGTGAAAAGAAGACAAGAAGGTAGGTAGCTTGAGGGCTCATGTCATTCCTCCTGGCTGTGCCAGGTTTGCTAGGAAACCATCCCTGGAGTTATATATATATATGTATACTTTTGCTGATGTTTGTTGAACATTAACATATGTTACATATTTGCTGATTGTTGGGCTCGAATGCTTTCACCGGTGCCTGTTTATTGTGCGTACTTTGCGTCAGCTTTTGGATTGCTCCACGTACTTGGCCAAGCTGCAAGCGTTCATCATCGTTCATCCCATGCTACGTCAAGTTGTTCGCTCCAGAAGTGCCTGTGTACGCTCACGTGAGGCTTTTCGATCAGCCAGTGGATGTGGATGTCCCACACCATCTTGCCAGCAATTGTACGCTCAGCTTGTTGGGCTTCAGCAGTCAGGCGGTGACCAATGTGACTCGGACCGGCTTTGGGGGCAGAACCAGTAGGGAGCTCCATTTAATTTGTTGAGTAGTTGGTAGCTTGCAATGCCCACTTGTGGGAGTGGTTCCCAAAGGAGATCTCAGCTATGCCCCCCGCCCCTTTGTTTCTGCGGCGAGTGTTCCAGTTCTTTGTACCATGAGAGTCTAGGAACATCCAAGAACCCCAAGAAAAGTTAAAGAGTTACAGCTAAAGCTAAAGACAACATGGTTGGAAGGAGGAAGAATCGGGAATTCTTTGTGACAACTCTGCCAAGCGATTTTTGAGCGAACCATCCTTAAATCACCTGGAACATTCCTTTCTCCAGCACTGGAGAGGGAGGATGATACCAACTCAGCTTGGAGCCAGCATTCATATAGGTGTTTGACATCATACTTGTTGTCGGGTAGATGCTTCAGGAGGCCCTTGGGAACTTTGACACGCCTTGGTGGGGTGTCTGCATATTACTCTGAGATTCGCATGATTGGTCCAACTCGCAAGCCGACACTGAAGGAACTAAAAGAGAGTCTTTGGAGAGCTCAAGCCAAGGTGATGGTTGCGCTGAAGCCCAAGAGATGCTTCTCTAAACTCTTGGGGTTTGCCACGCGTACAAGAAAAGGTGTGTGTGTGTGTGTCCCACCCTGGACAAAGGGTCTTACCCCACCACTTTTACACAGGCAGGGGGGCAGTGAGTCTCATTCCATCCACTGCCCAACGAAGACGGTGGTTTGAGACTGTGACATTCGGAGAGGACGCTCTCTGAACGTACCTGCTGAGGTCTTTCACAAGCTGTCACCCTACTTTTCCACGATTTGATTCATGGTGGTTCCACATGATACTTTCCCCACAAACAGGTTTCCCACTGCACTGCAGCTGCTGACCACCGCCTCCATTTGCGCTTGTCGTGAAACCTGTGTTAAACAATACATTTTAAGCTGACCTTTCCACCTTGCCGTTCCATCGCCTTCTTTCCCTTTGAGACAATTGCGTTAACTGAAAATCCAAGTTCGAAGTGTGTGTGTGTGTTGGGCGTCTCGTTTTAAGAGTGGACAGTGTTTATTCTTCATCATAAGGATTTCCTTTATTCCATCACATTGAAGCTAGGGCTGATGGACGAGGTTTCGTGAGACATCCTGGTTTCTTTCGGGTGGTAAGCCCTAGCTTTGGATGTTGCATCCACCATGTTCAACCTGTTCCTGCTGCTCAGAACCCCCCGAACAAGCACTTTAAAGATGAATATTGCTATCACTGGTATCTAGTAGTGATGGAGACAGAACCCAACCTACATCTCAATTCCTCCACCTGTATTGTGTGGGCCCACTACCCACTCCTCTTCGGGATGATGGGTTTTGTCATGAAGAAGTTTATGTGTCCCAAGGTTTTTGCTTGCCAGGGTTAACTGCAATTCGCTTTGCCCTGCCAAGGCCCAGCTAGACAGGCATAGGCACTTTGAAGCACACGTACAAGTCTGTAAGAAGGTCTCCGTCCTTTAGCCAGCAAATGGCTGCGTACTTTAAGATAAGCATTCCAGTTGAATGTGAGGATGCTCAATATTTCGCAATCGGTTCAGGCTAGCTGTGTCCAACCTCCAATGTCCATACCAAAGAGCCATAGAAGTTAGTGTAATTCCTGGACTGTCCATGGTTTGCCAATGAGGAGAGCACAACTTTTGCGACTGCTCGCTTGTGGGCTGCACCTGCTGTGATGGATATAGCGGATCAGTTCGCTTCAAATCTATACTGACGCCTGGGTCATAATTCAAGCCTTCAGTGTCGAATTTATAGCTAGAGTACATTTTGCTTATTGGGTATGCATTTGGTTGGCTTTTCTTGACATGTCACATCATGACCTTTGAAATGTTTGCTCCACTGTGAAGTGACTTGCTGAGGAAGAAACTTATCTCTCCTGACAATTTTCGGAACTTGAGTGGCATTTGTGTTGCCGCATCTTGTGACACAATCCAGCACACTAATGGCCAAAAGGGCAGCGATTGTGGCTGCGCGGACGGCTTTGTTGGCGATGTCAAGTGGGATGGGCCAGTCCCTACGGGGGTTGACTTCAGCTGCTTTAGAACGATTTTGCGCGTGGGGGTTATTGGGGGTTCAACAAGCTACCTCTGTAAGAAACCAATTTATAGTAAGACAATTGCTGTACATTTGGTCTACAGTCCTTATTATTCACTGTTTATTTCCCTCAAAAACACCGTCAACCTCAGGTTATTTGAATCTCCCTGTCAAGTTTGAGGACATGTTCCACTAACCAGTCCGGCCATCAATCTGAGGCTTGCATTTGGGAACCTTGTGCCATCGAAAACTCCACGTTTCGTGATGGCAACTGCACTTGCATGGATGGCTTTGTAGGGCAGATCACCTGGGAAAGCAGCAAGTGGAGTGGATGGTGCCGCGCTGCTGAGTTTCCTGTCGGTTGTTTTCAGTGCTACTTTTGCCTTAGATCTTGAGAAGGTACTTCGGTTTGCATGCGCTTAGCTCTCACAGTTCAAAATAGTGTCTTCAGTTGTTTGCATCATTGAGTGACCTGTTTAAGGTGCAAGATTCCCAATTCCAACAGAAGGCCAGGGAAGGCTTGCAAGTGCAAAGATGGATTCCTGGGCAGTATTGATTGGGATGGAGGCCGTCCGATTGACAAGTGCGATCCTGCGCCGTGCGATGTGAACAATTCAAATCAGAAGCCTGGGCCAAGCTGCCAGTGTGAAGCCAAGTTCGTCATTTGCTTGCATATTGGCCATAGATGATTTTTCCAGTTTGCGTTTGCAGTAGGCAACAGATTGTGATATTCCCCATAAAGGGGGCATGAAAAGAGAGTTCCATTATCAACACTGATGGGCACCACTTGGAATGCAGTGGCAGACCTCGCCGGAATAGGTGGAGCATTCAATATACCAACGACTGAATTAGAATTTAAAGCGATCTACTGTGCACAGTCGCAATCGTAAAAAAGGGGCTCGTTTTGTTGCTCCATTATGTTCCATTCGTTTTTGCATTGCATTCCAGGTAGGCGGCATCACATGGAACGAGTCCACGCCCGTTGGCACCTGCGAGCCTGCATCATGCGAAGGAGACAAGCTGAATGGACTGCCTGGTAGGGACTGTCAATGCAAAGATGGCTACACAGGCCATTGCTGACCATGAGGACAATCATAGCATGGTTTAGCATGGTTTGTGTATGCGGGTGAGTTGTTAATTTGTTTAAGTCACTTTAGTTCAAAGTTGCACTAGGACACTAGGATAAGGCTTGTGAGAGTTGCACTACGTTGCGCGGACCTCTTGGGTTTCAACATGTTTCAACTCTAGCCAGATTCTGGCCAAAAAGGCTGCCCGTCCCGGCACACTGTGACTAGGCGAGCCAGAGAAGCATCATGATATCTTGCGCGATTCAGGCTGCCAGGCAGCACCTTGCAAGATCGCAAATTCCACTGGGGATGGTCCAGGCTGTAAGTGCAAGAGAGGCTTTGAAGGGGTGATCAACTGGACTGGTACTGTGGCCAGTGGCTCTTGCACACCGGCAGGTTGTGACATTCCAAACTCTAACAAGATGCCCGGTCCTCAGTGTCAGTGCTCTGAGTGGTACGAAGGAAAAATCCACTGGCTTGAGCATGGTGCCGACGGAAGATGTACACCAAGAGCTTGTAGGGGCAAGCTTTTGAATGGTGTTGCGGGGCCAGGTTGCGCTTGCGCAGATGGTTACACCGGTCATGTACGACCAATCGCGAGGAAAGCGCATGGCCGCTGGCCGACTTTGGCGTTGGATGGCGAGTGTGAACCAGCACCATGCAACATGAAGAACTCCAACAACATCTCGGGCCCTGAGTGCGGATGTGCTGATGGTTTCATATTCAATGGAAGTGGCCCAGTGTGGAACGGATCTGTGCTGCAGGGCAGTTGCGAAGCTGCTCCGTGCAACATCGCCAACTCCAATAGGAAGCCAGGAGCTCAGTGCGCGTGCGCCTTCGGTTTTGAAGGCGACATCACCTGGCGTCTCCACCATGCTTCAGGAGAATGCAGGCCACTCCGTTGTGTGGGCAACAATGTGAATGGTGTCGATGGTCCAGGATGCGGCTGCAAGGATGGTTGTGTCGGAACAGTTCATGTGAAGAGACAAGTGAATCAGACGTGGGACGATTGGGACGAGAAACTGTTGAGCGAAGTGTTTTATGATGCCTTGGAAGGAAGATGTGAGCCTGCACCTTGCGACATTGAAAACTCCAATCATGAGTCTGGCCAAGCTTGCCGATGCCGAGCAGGCTATTACGGCGCAATCACTTGGAATGGATCTATGCCCGATGGCCGATGCAAACCAGCACCGTGCTACATCCCAAATTCCAACCAGGAGAGCGGCTTGAGCTGCAGGTGCATGGATGGATACGAGGGCAAAATTTCCTGGAGTGACGACCAACCATCAGGGACCTGCGTAGCAACGCCTTGCCAAGTTCCAAATTCCGACTTTGCAGCAGGTCCTGGCTGCCGATGCTTGCCAGGCTTTTACGGCCAAATCACCTGGCAAGGAAACACGGTTGAAGGAGAATGCCTCCCCTTACCCGCTTGTGCCGCTAGCGTGGTCCACACAACTTGGCTTCAGGCTCAGCTGAACACTTCCAAAGGTCATGCCTGTCATGCTGGCCAGCAATTGATTTTCTTTGGCCATGCAAGCACGGGTGCCCGGAAGATTGAATGGAAGTTCGCCCATTCCCAGCCATCCAGCAAGTTCCTTGGCCGCGACGACCAGGGTGTGTTTCAGCGACCTCAGGGCCCTCAAAGGATGTAGGGTGGCAGGGTGAATTGATGAAACCAAGCGGTTATATAAGGAGCCAAATTTCTCAATCAGCCCAAAATATTCCCCTTAGCTTGCCGTGTTTAATCATCGATGTTCGCCATTCTGCCTTGGCAAAATCGCACGTGATTCCTCAACTGGCCGCTTTTCTTGGCACACACAGATTGGCCTAGCCAGATGAGTGATCAGCTAAAAAGCATCGGCCAAACTTGAAGGGTTTGCACGATGTATTCGCTGTAGCCCTGACGCAGTGTCGCTGTGCAATTGATATTCTGAACTTCCCTGTGATGTTGATTTTGTGGAATGCTTGTGGTTTCGAAAGTGCAGCCTGACGCTGCCGGTGTGCGTGCATGTATATTTTATAGTTGCACATATGTGTATGCATGGTATGGTATGGTATAGTATGGTATGATATGTGAGGTATGTGAGGTATGTAATGCATGTATGCATGTATGCAGGTATGTATGGATGTATGCATGTGTGCATGTGTGCATGTGTGCATGTCTGTGTGTATGCGTGTATGCGTGTATGCCTGTATGCATGTATGCCTGTATGCATGTATGCATGTATGCATG